AGAGCATCCTGTCAAGACAACGTCAGCCCAAGCGGGTCCAGGCAAACCAGCCGGCATCGAGGAGTTTGATATGGAGCTGGCCAAGAAACAGAGTTGCTTCTGGGCGAGTCTTTGCCAGCTCTGGAGCAGCCCATCGCCCTCCCACGGCAGGGCAGGATCGCCGCCAAAAACAAATCGCGTCGGGCTGCGGCAGAGGGTCCCTTCATCCGCCAGCACCACGGCCACTCGCCCAGACCCCACGGGCACCGACACTGTGTCCCTTATCTTTCTGCAAATCTCTGGAGGCACTTGTTTGGAGCAACAGCATCCCAAAAACTCAGACCAGAGGCACCGACGGCCATCCAGCATCAAGCACAGCAGGTTTCCTGGCTCCTCTCGCATCCTCAGCCGCAGCTCGGGCATAGCCAGAGTGACGAAGCAGCGGATGTGGGTTCGGGATTTTCCCAAACGTGAGCTGCCGTTGGGGCTGTTGGTGATTATTTTGCACAAGCATCCCGATACGTCCGGGCTTATTTGCATTCCGTTGAGGGGTTAAAAAAAAAAAAAAAGCAAAGCCAGCATCAAAAGCAGAGAGGGGAAAACGGGCCATCCGCACGGAGTCGCTGAATCCAGCGGGGATGTTTTATTGACTTGGTCAAGGCAAGAGCGGAATTCCAACAGAACTCCGGGAGGAAGAGCTGAGCCGACCGTGCCGGAGGCGGGGAAGACGTGGAGCCCGTTCCCAAGCTCTGCCAGCCACCCGACCGCCGTGGTGTGTAACACCAACCGTACAGACGGAGGGAGAACGAAATCCGCCTGGTTTGGGGTGGGGTAAGAAGGGCAGCGGAAGCAAAACCAAGGAAAGAACCGTGCTGAACGCTTCCAGAGGAACTCTGCCGGGAGAGCAGGCTCTGAGGGATCTCACTGGCACCGGGGAGACTCCCCCAGACCCGCAAAATGTTGATTTAACTTCCCACTGGGGATCTCCCGCCTGGCAGAGCGGAGGATTGCCGACAGGCTCTCGTCACCCGGCACCTACCTTCTCCTCGCGCTCATATCCACCGGCTCCTCGTTGATGTTCTCCTTCCCCGGCCTCCCTGCAGTCCTGCCATCCCCGTGGGGCCTCAGGCTCCCGTTCAGCTTCTCCTCGTAGACTTTCACCCCGTCCTGCTTCACCGGCAGCTCGTGCGGCACCTCGATGCCTGAGAGATCTTTCCTCTTCAGCAGCGCCAGCATCTTCAAGCGCTCCATGGCCTCGTGCCCTTCCATCTTCAACCTCTTCGCCAGGACGTCATCCCGATCGTCCGCTTGGTCCAGGCTCCGCTTCAAGAGGTACAGGCGCATAGCAGCTGCCGTTATCCTGTCCATCCTGCGGGGCAGAGGGGACACAAGGACACCGTCAGCGCCACGCCAAGCGCTCCCAGCACACCCAGCGTAACCCCCTGCAGGGCCGGCGCAGCCCAGCCCTC